GTTTTCACTTTGTTTCCACCTTCCAAAGCACCCTTACTCCAATTCCCCCAACACCGTCATCGAAGCACATGAAAAGGAAAAGGTAGATACATATCAGTTTGAAGAAAAAGCCATAAGAACAAAGATGGAATTTGAAAAATATACCCTGCGAATACTTGAGGTCGTCGCTATTCATCACCAGTCTTCTTGGAAGTTCCCACTACACGCATCAAGCACGAGTTTCCCCTCTGGGCTTCTAATCCAACTTCTGGCCCAAGACCATTGCCACCTACACCTGCCAGGTCATAACCACAGAATCAAAACCGTTAGAGGATATTCCCTGAAAAACAGAAGATGCGATTCAAAATCAAATCAAATCCAATCTCATTTTGAATCACCAAAAATCAAAAATTGAATGTCAATTAACAAATCATCATGGCAATCAGACGAAAGAGGAATGTTTTCAAAATTGATTCAGCCTAAATTGGAAAACCTAAATCAACATTCAATACTCAATCAAGATATTTTCATTCTGAAGACCTATAAAAGGAGGCTAAAGAGAAAGAGAAGAGCGATCGAAAATTATCGTAAGACACCGAAAATCACCATCGTAACCTAGTAAATTAAGAAGAGAGAACACTTATATTTTCCGTTGAAGAAGCCAATCCCAGCCACTGCGAGCTCAACCGACGGAGCATCCGTTCTTGTCATCTCCAAACACCGCCATCGCCAACATTCGGTAAACTCTTGTTCTCATCAATCATATTGAACTACTGACGTTTCTGAGTTGATTTCAGGTCTGAAAGTGAAAGGAAGCGACGGATGAAGAGATCGATTGCGATCTGAGAAAGGTAGAAGAGATGCTAATCGAGCGATTTTGGGAACGAAAGAGGGCTTGGGGTTCCATTGTTTCGTTTTTCCCCATTTGTTCTGTTCGTGTATCTCGTGGAAATGGTTCCTACACACACACACACTCACGACACCACACATTTACCATTAATCAGCTCTCTAACCTTTTGTTTAACTAATTAATTGCCTTTTTTTCTAAATAAACTAATAACATTTTACTAATCAGTTTTTTTAACTATCTGGCTAATTAATCTTTTAATAATCCATCCTAGTTAATATTTGTTTTTTAATTTCCAATTTAATCAACCGTACTCTCTTTATAACTAAAAAACAACCTTTTTTTTAATCCTATTAATCCCTATTACAATATTTTGCTAATTTAATTTTAACTTTTTCATTCTAATAACCTTTTTAAAAAATAGTATTCCTTCACTATAAAAAAAGAAAAAAGACTTTTAGAAATAATTACACCTTTTGTCAATTTGTTTAGTTAACAATAAAATTCCCTAGTATAGTAATCAACTTTTAGAAATAAATAATTAAGTCAATTTAATCAATATAATTTAATAAATAGTCATAATAGAAAATAACCACTTCACTTAAGTTTTTATAATAAATTAAGTCATTGAAGTTTTTTATTTTAAATCTTTAATCTATAATTAATCTCGTTTAAAATCGACCGATTAAAATCAACTCACATCGTAAAACTCAATCTAATCGTGCACGCTCACGCTTACACTTCACAATTCACTCTCACACACTTCAGCGCTTTCATGCGTATGTGTATGCTCTACTTACTTGCCCTTTACTATTTCCGCAATTTATTTCTTTCCGCAATTTTCATTGCCGCATTTATATTCTCGCATCGCATTCCGTCCAAAGGAAAAACCTACACATGAGTCAACACTTGTGTGTGGTGCATATCATTTGCATCATAATCCCCTCGATCCTTGATCCCATTCAAGTTGATCTTTCTAAGATAGATCCTACCCCATAGGAAGGACCGTTATCTTTTACAACATAGAAACAAACAATCAACTCAACAAATATTCAAACACAATAGAGAAATAGATGTTAATCATCTTAAGCGAGATAGAATCTCCACCCCACATCAATACAATCAATATGTAAGGACTTTGCCTTAAGAGAGATAGAGGCGTACTCGTCGATCAATATCCGAGTACTTGAGCCCTTCTCTTAAGATGATGCAAAGACTATTTTTCTACAATTTGTGGCGGTTAAATCTCCCTTAAAATGACAACCCGTCTTTTCTCCTAAACTCAATCAATCAACTACCCTAAACCCGTAGGAACTTTGACCACAGTCAAAGAACTCCTCAAACCCTTTAGGGGAACTACAGATACTCTGATTCCACTCCCGTAAGGATATGTAGGCATAAGATGCGATATCTTATCGAGTATACTTAGAAATAAACCCCTAGGTCTTTTAATCATTAAGCAGATAAACCTTAGCAATAAACAAACATAAAACAAGAGGTTCCTGTAGAGTACTACAGAAACTTAGGATGCTAGCACCTTCCCTAAGTTTAACCGACCCCCGTACCTATAACTCTCTAAACCTTACATTTGCATTGCATCGTGGGAATTTCGATCTTTATCCCTTCCTTTGGACAAATCAAAGTTCGGTTGCAAATGAATAAGATTCAAACTAATCAATAGTTTGGTATCCAAATTTCACCGTGACAAACTTTGATGACTCCCATGATCTTACATTCGTCTAGAATTCATCCAAAGTGATATTACCTTCCTTAGCATAAAGAAGATAATCTTTTAAGTTCTCAAAGGATATTGGTAATGACCATAACAAGAGTAGATCCATGTCTTCATTATCAATCCTCACCTCAATATTTTGCAAATCATTAATGATTTTGTGAAATTCTGACAACTACTCCATAATAGATTTATCCTCTACCATATAAAAGTTGTTGTTTCAGACACAATTTGCGAGTCACTAACTTCTTTATATAATTACTCAAGCTTGACCCACATCTCATTCATGATATTCACCCTTGCGACTTCCATTAATAATTTATCTTTGAGGCACAAGATAATGGTACTTTTAGCCTTATCCTCCATCTCAGTTTTCTCAGCTTGTGTTAGACTTACATATATCATTGTCTTTTCCTTCAATGCTTCTACACACTTTTGTTGAATTAAGATTGGTTACATCTTCACCTTCTACAACCCAAACTTTTTGCCTCTAAAAAACTTTATAATGTCCCACTTGAAATTCATGATGCTCATTTTTTAACTTAACCCCTTTGGCCCATGATGGACCCTGCTTATTATGAAAAATTGATAATAATTCAAAGTTTAACACACTAAGACTTTGATTTGTGGGACAAAGCACAATGACAATCAATCAAATGACTTTAGTGCAATATATAACAACCGAGAACATAAATAAAATTATTTATCCAATTTAATCATATTGATTTATGTTTAGGAGAAATAGTAGCTCTCTGATTCACTATAATTCAAAACGATTTACAAGAGATTAATATATGAGTTACAAGAAAATAATCTTTGAAGTTCTCAAACTAAACCATATTTTCTACTCAAGTGTATCTCAATCTCTCCAACTTTCCATATATGAATCGCACATATGCAAGGTGATTAAAATATTTTTTTATTTTATTTTTTATATTTGTTTCCTAACCTCAAAAGACTTCCAAAACAATTATAAGAGATTAAAATATGAGTTACAAGAAAATAATCTTTGAAAGTTTTCAAACTAAACTATATTTTCTATCCAAGTGTATCTCAATCTTTTCAACTCTCAATATAAGAATCACATAAACTCAAAGTGTTTAAAATATTTTATATATATTTGTTTCCTAACCTCAAGGCTTCAAAGTCCCAAAAATATAATCATAAGAATTTCTTTTCTTTGCTTATCAGTTATCACTAAGATTGCTATCTTATGCACCACATGTTAAAGTAAATGAGGAAGAACTATATTTATAACTGTCAAAATCTTAACGGACTCAATATATGATCCATTATCAAACAAATTCATGAACATGCCCAAAAAGTTCTAGACTAACCTAGAATGATGCTGTCACTGTGCTCCGACCCACCTTCCTCGTCGACCACTATCAATATCAAATTCACTGTATGCTGCCATCTCGCTTTCTCTCTTTTCTTACTTCAAATTTTAAGACATATTACAATACAAATAAATTATGAATATTATAGTCTCTTTTATCAATAATATTGTTCGAATTATTTAAAAGTGCATAAGTCATATTAGACTTAAAAATAAAGGCATATTCAAATAACAAATGATAAATATGATAAGAAGGAATGTAACTTTGTCATCCAACCATTCCTTAAAGAACATGTGTTAATAAATTCGTAAGTTTCAAAATCTCAAATATTTTGAGATCAAATTGTTTTTCCTTCGCCTCACAAAATAATTTAAGTGAGCTGGTTTTTCACTCCTTTAACTCGAGTAAAATGCAAAACTAATCGAGTAGCTAGACGCCGTAGTTATGCAAACAAATTGACTAATCATGCTTTCCATGTCAATTATAGGGTGTCACGAGAGATCATTCCAACTTGCATATTTGATGATTGTGCTTGTAAAAAAAAAAGTTCCCTTTTTTTCATTCGTTTTTACCGAAACCTTTTTGCTATTCTCTACCTAGTGAACTTTGACCTTGGGGTTAATAAATCTTCTATTTCTCTCCACCTAATAGTCTCCTTTTATTTTTAATTTTGTTGGTACAGTAGTAATAATAATAATAGTCTCCTTTTATATTCATACATATTATGTCGATTCCGTGTCTCCTCCTTTTCTTGCCACCATCCCCATATTATATTACACATATCAACATTTTTTTTATCTATCACATTATAAAAAAAATAAAATAAAAAAAGAAAGTCCAGGGAAATGGAGCGCAACTAAGTCCCTGTTTGTTTACGCGTTCCGTTTACCTTTCCTTCACTCACACAATACAATAACATAACGCTATTCCCATTTCCGTTTTAAATACAACCAAACACCCCCTTCCTTCCCAAAACCTCTTCCAAATCCTCTCCCTCCTCCGATCCCTCAATCCACAGATCCATGAACACAGCACCCCCATAACCCTTCAAACCCCCGCAATCAAATCAAATTACCTTAATACCCTTCCATAACCACCAAAAATGAAGGTTTCAAATCGAATGTTCACAATCGGCTTAATCTCATCATGGTACACATCAAACATTGGTGTACTATTACTCAACAAGTATCTCCTAAGCAACTACGGATTCAAGTACCCAATCTTCTTAACCATGTGTCACATGACTGCTTGTTCGTTGTTCAGCTACGTTGCAATTGCGTGGCTTAAAATGGTTCCAATGCAAACCATTCGTTCGCGGCTTCAGTTTTTCAAGATCGCTACTCTGAGTTTGGTTTTCTGTGTTTCTGTTGTTTTTGGGAATGTGTCGTTGAGGTATCTTCCTGTGTCGTTTACGCAAGCTGTCGGTGCTACTACGCCTTTTTTTACTGCCGTTTTTGCTTACTTTATGACGTTTAAAAGAGAGGCGTGGCTTACTTATCTTGCGCTTCTTCCTGTTGTTACTGGTGTCATCTTTGCTAGTGGGGTAAGTTACACTAATTTTTGTTTTTTTTTTATTTCAATTTCTGGATTTGTCGGTGATGGAAATTATGTATAGGGATTTATATTGGAGACATTTTTGGGTTTGTTTTTGTAATTATTTATTGTTGGGTAAGTTCCTTGCATAAGATAATTAAATTTATGGTATATTCTAGAACAATTTTGGAATGATTATGATCATTTGTGCATTAATCACAATTTTGGAATGGTTAACTAATGAAAAACTTAACATGCTTAAAATGATTGAAAAATGACAGCTATTGCAAAAAAAAAAACTTTAATATTAGATTGGGTTTTATTTTTTTACTAATGTTTTGGAGCTTTTAGTATTCAGAAGCTAGATCAAGGTTTTAAATAGCGATCTTGGTTGTATTGTGATCCTTCATATTCTGAGAATTGCAGCTGCTATTGCGGAAATCTCTTTGATATTGCAGAGAATTACAGTCACTTGCTTCTTATGTGTTCTTAACTGTAGTTGGAGAGATGTAAAAATCTTGATGTTGTTCGTGCCCATATTGTGGTCGTTGACTTTGTTTTTAAAGCTGAAAGCTAGACCGCTGTTGATAGGGAAAGACTTCTTTGTTTCCCATGTATGAGACTTGAATGACATTAAAGGAAATTGTGGTCCTTGCCACTTGGATCAATGGTCCTTAGTATCTTGAGATTTGAATTTGTTGTGCCGATTCTACCTTGTGGTAATTTAGCAACCGTGCAGATCTAATTGAATAAATTTATGAGCAATAGAGTGGAATGTAATAGAGTGATTTATTACTTCCTTTGTACATGAAAATCTACTTAATATAGTCAGTGAAATATCTGGTTTAGGTTTGTCTAAGAGGCTGAGCTTCAGTTGCTAATAGGTGTAAGAAATAATCAAGTTTCTAAAAATAGAACTTGTTATGTTCATGTTGTGTATGTGTGGTGTTTTGACTGTTCTCTGTTTTCAGTGGACTTTTTGGTGTTTTGGTGGACTTTTTGAAACCAAACTAGGAAAATATGTTTTTAAGCTTTAGTTTCTCAGCTACAAATTGATATTGACAAGTAGAAAACAAGAATACTTTATGGCTTCTGATGCATTTGATATTCTTTTCTTTCTTTACTTATAGGGTGAACCAAGCTTTCATTTGTTTGGGTTCATAATATGTGTTGCAGCTACAGCGGCACGAGCCCTAAAATCAGTGTTGCAAGGAATTTTACTTTCTTCTGAAGGGTATGCATAAGGAAAATGCTATCTACCTCATTACTGTTTCTTTTTTTCTTCTTTTTGTCAATTTATAAGTGAGTACTGACATCCTTCTTTTTGTGTATCAGAGAGAAGCTAAACTCTATGAACCTTCTCCTTTACATGGCTCCAATGGCTGTTGTTTTCCTTCTTCCCGCTACACTTTATATGGAAGAAAATGTGGTTGGCATCACATTGGCTCTTGCCAGAGATGATGTGAAGATCATTTGGTATCTTCTGTTTAATTCCTCACTTGCATATTGTGTCAACTTGACCAATTTCTTGGTCACAAAGCACACCAGTGCTCTCACCCTTCAGGTATGTGTCCCTTTCTCACAGTCATACAATTTGTTACGATCATGCCTGCTATTTTCTCAGTTGGAACATCAATTATTTGTGATTGTCATAAACAAGTTTCTTAAAATTCATGAGTAAACTGTTTTCCGGTTTCTATTTCAAACTTGTTCAAGCCTCTGGGAAAAGACAATCAGGGTTTGCTGCTAAAAATTTCAGTTGGATCCCTATAGCTAGTAGTGCTAGGGTAGTATTTTCAATTTTTTGCTGAAATTTGTCTGCAATTTCAAAATTCAACCTAGAGTTTCTCTCGGTATTCTTTGCTCCATGACATTCCTTGTTTTACTGATTCACATTGTTAGATTTCTTTGGTCAAAAGCCTGCTGCTACAATTGTTTAATTAGCAAGTGCTTAGTAGATATATAATTGTTGTATAATTGTAGGGTTTATGTTTCAGGTTATAGTAACAATTGATGTAAGTTAATGTTTAACAACTAATCTTCAAGCATTGGCTCATACAGGTACTCGGGAATGCTAAAGGTGCTGTAGCAGTTGTAGTTTCGATTCTGATATTTAGAAATCCAGTTTCAGTCACTGGAATGATGGGGTATTCACTTACAGTCCTCGGAGTTGTTCTTTACAGTGAAGCCAAAAAGCGAAGCAAGTGATTCTGATAAGGAAGTCAGCGATGAATTCTATATAATTTCTTTCCGTCACTGCCACGGACAACTTCAGGATTCCATGAGACGAATTTGTTAGCATGACTTTGATCAGAATCAGAATGTTTCAGACTCTACATAAGAATTCTTTTGGCCCTACATAGATAGCTTCATATAAAAAGGGGGTTCCCCATTGTATTAGAAACTGTGCAGAAATAGCTCATGGTACAAAGTTCCAATAACTGAATGATCTCTGTTGAAGAATGTTTTGTGGTCATTTATTCTTTGAAGAAAAAGTTGTAAAATTGGATCTCAGACCATTTGTTATTTACAATTACAATGTTTACATTTGTTTATTGATGAGAAAATTCTTATTTTTAGTAGTGTAGTTTTATGGTTTAGTAAAATATTCTATATTCAAAACTAGAGAATATTACAATAATTATTATTTGTTGTTTGAAAATAAATAAACTTTTTAAAGCAAAATTCATAAATTATGCAAGCAATTTAGAGAATGAAAAAAAAGAAACAGTAACCGTTGTTACGGACGCGCCAAATTCTAAATTCTCTCTAACTAAACTAACTAACAAATTCACTATCTGTTGCAAAATCTTTCTCTCATCATCCTTCATCTCTCACACTTTACATTTCCACTCGATAACAGAACCACCGTATCCATTAACCACCATGTTTAACAACTTCATCTATCTCACTTTCTCTCTCTACATTCTCCTCTCTCTCCTCCCAGCAACCACCTTCTCCCTCCCGTCCATCGGCGCCACCTACTCCACTTTCCCCACAAACCGTCAAGAACCACCACCGCGACCACCGCCACCACCTTCCTCACCACCTCCGCCATCACAACCAGACCGCATTACCACCGCCATGGAAAAACTCAAACTCGACTCCCTCCGTCTCGAAGAGCCGGACCTAACCATCATCCGAAGCTTCACCTACACCAACATCTCCCTCTTCCTCACCGTTCCAAACTACATGGTTACACCAATGGCGAACAACCGCTCCGTCGCACGTGCCTGGATTTACACTCACGTGCTACCTTTCTACCCGCGCGCCAAAATCACTACAATCTCAGTAGGCAACGCTTTCGTCGACGTTTACCCCGAAGCAGTCAACAATCTCCTTACTGCAATCTCCAACGTACACGTGTCACTCCGCGATCTTGGAATTCGTAAGATCTCCGTTTCAACTTCGTTTTCTTTCATAACCACCGTTTCTTCTCCGTTTCCACCGTCTTCCGCAACTTTTCGAGAACCTACCGGCGTTAACCTAATGGGACCGTTACTTCAGTTCTTGAGCGACACGAATTCTTCGTTCTTGATTAATCTCTACCCTTACAATCTTTACCGTTTAAGATCGGAGATTCCTCTCGGAATCGCGCTTTTTCAAGATTATCCGTTTAACTTCCGTGACGACTTTACCACCGGAGTTCGTTACCGGAATCTCTTCGACATTATGGTTGACGCCGTGGTTAGTGCAATGGCGCTTGCAGGTTACGAAACTATTCCGGTTATTGTCACTGAGACGGGATGGCCTAGCACCGGGAATGAACCCGACGCGAATCCAGGATATGCTGAGATTTATATGAGGGGATTGGTGAAGCATTTGAAGTCCGGTGCCGGAACGCCGTTGCTGAGAGACGGCGTGAAAGGGGTTTACATTTACGAGCTTTTTGATAAGGAAGGACCGGGAAGAAATTGGGGGCTTTTGTATCCGAATGGTTCATCGAAGTATAATGTTGATTTCTCTGAAGCTTCACGTTCGAGTTTGGTGAATTGGATTAACGTGGCGTTTTTGTTGATCGTCGTCTTCGTTGAGGTTTGTTGCATGGTTATTGTTGATTAGTTTTAATTTTCGGATTAATGCTGTTTTAGTTTTGTAATTAGAATGGTATATGAAGCTTAATCAAAAAGAAATATTGGTGTTCATATTGTTCTGTAGAGATATAGTATAGAGAACTTTGTTGAATTGTAGTTGAGCCCATATCTTAATGAAGCTCCAATACAGATTTTGTGTGTGTGTGGGTGAGTCTCTTTTACAGAAATTTGAATTATGTGACCCGCACTTTATAATGTAAAATCAAATTTACAAATGATAGATATGAACAGAGCAAGATACATGTAATTTCTTTATTTACAAAATTACGGAAAAAAAATGGTAGTTGAACCAAAATCTCCGTAATCATATAGGATGAAACAAATATTCAGCATCTATGCTTTCATTTGATGCTCAAACATGTCACATATAGGGTCTGGTAGCAAAAACTTTCGCATTCCTGCATCTTCTTCTGCAACACTTAAAACATCCATATGACTGCTTATGATACTTATTACTCGGAATCCCTTTGTTTGTATCGCATTTCTTTGCCTGGAAATATACTCGTTCGTTTTGGTAGAATTTTCACCTTCTCTGCAAATACAGAACACCATTGGTGGCTTAAGATGTGAATCTCACATAGTGTGTATCTTTGGTCCAAAGTGTTGCAATTTAAACATGTCATTGGCAATATAAACATATCAATGTCACACATTTGTGGGTGAGTTAAAGTTTAGCAAAATCACCATGGTACCTAGTTTTGCTGAAACTTTAAACTGTAGTTTCTGCCAAATTTACAATAGCTCAATGTGATTTTTTTGACAATTTTAGTGTCAGTCCAAATATCCACTATATAATCAAATACTATAAAATAAATAAATAAATTATTTTCGCTACTCAATTAGTTTTCTTGTTGTAATTAAAAATAAAATTGCATCTCTAATTATTAGTTATCTTCATTTAACTTTTATAATGTTTAATAGAAGGGTACTTTAAGAACAACTTACTGCACAAATTTTTAAGAACAACGAAACTGAAAATATTTTCTTAAACTAGAGGAAACGAACTTTAGATATTTAAAAATAACATCTGTGATTTTTGTTGTATTGTTATCTAGGATACATGGGTGAAACTTAATACCTCATCATTAATGAAGACCACCCTCTAAATCCAGCAGAGACAAGATGATTGATGGTGACATTTTGGTCTTTTACTGGATCTCTTGATAACAAAATTATAGGCCAACCACTAGCTCGAAGGTTCATGTATAATCTTAACACAGCCATGCGCTTTAAATTTTTTGCCTCTAAGATACAATTGCTAATGCTGTTATAATGAAATCCAACAACAAAACAAAACCTTGTCAAGTTACTGCTAATAATATAATATATGCAGATTAGCATCAAGCTGGATTAGTTACATAAAAAATGTATAATAATTACATTTGAGATTTTATAGCAAGAAATATGAATTACTAATAAACTAATGCAAGTTGGAGTAACAAAACATTTATAAAAACCAAATTAAGACACCAAAATTCAAGCTGGCCTACATCTAAGCATTTACCTATATTTTACATTATCCAGAATCAGGGTACATAAATGGCTTTAGATCTGCTAATACACTAAACAAAGTTCATGATGTTTTTTTTTCTTAAGGTAGACAAACATTAATATATTAATTATTATGTGACTATTTTTTTCTCCTACATGAAATGTTTGAACCCTAGTCTTTTACACTTCCAATTTCATTAACCATTAGCTAAAACCAATTGAGATACTCAATCTCCCATGCTCATGAAGATTGAGTGTTCAAGTTACTTCAAACTTTTCTATATGAAATAACATCATCAAAGTGCCAAAATCTACTTATAATAAAGAAGACAAGTAAAATTTCTTTTACTGTTGCAAAGTCGGGATCGAATTACTTGCAGTGAGAAATCAACACAGTCAGACAAATCAAGTGGTCATGGTTTTGAGTTTGGAAAATCATATTGAAAACACAAATTAAAACTATATCATTAGTTGTACAATCTTAACCAGGTTCAAATTGCTTGACTTCAAATTATATGAAATTGTGAAATCCAAATCACATAAACTTAACCAGTAGAAATAAAATCCAAATCTTACATTATAAGATTACCTTTGAAACAAATTGGAAGAACGAGGACTCAATGGAAAAATGCCATCTATGTCAATCAATACCACATCAAAACCATCCTGGGATGGTTTAACACCATTGAAATATTCCTCAATCACAGATTTGGTTAAATCCAAATCTCTAGCATATTGACCACCTTTGATATACTGTACCGCCAGGTCCTTACAAATTTCAGGAACATCATGTTCTTCCAAATGATTGAACTTAGCATGCAGAGAATGAATTTTGCAATAACTATAGTCATCCTTTACATTCCTAAGCTCTAGAATTCCAGCACTATTATTTTGACAAGATTGTAGCATCATTGCCATTGAAACCAACAGAGTGATTAATAAAAGTCCAAGAGCTGCAAATCCAGCAATGAAGATTGTTGCAGAAAATGATGTGATATAGAATCCCGATTCTAACATAAAACTGCTCCCCATCTCTTTGACCAAAAAAAAAAGAAAAACACTACAAAATAATCATCAAAATTATACTAAAATAATAACTTGAAGTTAACAAAAGATATAGTAGCTAATGATTCAAGTCAATTAGTTGAATATGAAAAATCTCGATCATGCTGTTCATTTCGAGATCAGTTCGCAGACTCACTTAACATGATCGAGACTTTTCAATTTCATTCATGAGCAGAATCTACCATATATGTGATAATAATTCTTGATCATACCAGAAGCAGCAGAGAGACTCCTGGTAGAATAAGCATGTTCCATTTGATGGCCATAAGCAGACATAATAACATTCCAACCTAAATCTGATCATTATTCATATGATTCAGTTTCAATGAAAAATGAACAAAACATAAGCAATTAAGTTTCTATGCTATTGCTAGTAATAGACCCAAAAAAAAACCTAATCACATGGCTTCACATCACAATCACTCAACACCATATCAAACAAATTGAATTGCTCTAAAAAAAGGTGAAAGATAAAAGAGTAGAAACTGACCGAGAAAGTGTTTGTCTTAATGCCCCAATAAGCATATTCTAAAACAACATGAACAAAGTAACCATGTTTGTGAACATGTGGATGTGAAGTTAAGCCTGTGATTTGGGAAGGTTGTTGTGAGAGAAAAGAACACATAGCATAGACATCATAATTATTATGAGTATAATGATGTGACAAAGTGAATTATTACGGATGAATGATGATGTGTTGAATAGAATAATGTACAGCTAAGCCTTTTGATTTAATGTGCCTCTCTATAATTGGAGACTACCATATTTTAAAATTAAAAGTTGAATATGTTTTGATACTGATAAATGATGATTATTTATTAAAATTTAAAGTATTTCAATTTTTAATTCATTAAATGTATAATCTTTCATAAAAGTTTACTATTTTAAGTTATTAAACCATGATTGCAAGGTATTTATTAACAATTGTTCTTACCATTATTAAATCATTTAAGGGTAAGAATGTGTGTCTATCTAAATTAATCAATGTATTTATCAATGTATTTCTTAGTAGGTGTTCATACTTAAAAAGGATTACTGAATGAATAGTTTTGAACTTTCATTTTTTGAAGAAAAAAAACAATTATTTAGTGATAAATATTTTTCTAAGAGATTTTTGTTGGTCATTATAGTCTTTTCAATCCGATGAATTCATTTATTATTTGATGCTGCACGGTTATATATATATATATATATATATATATAAAAGTTGGAGTATAAGAAAAATACAACTTATTAAAGCTTTTGGCTCTCTTAATTTTGCAAACTATGTCTCACCTTACCAACCTCCAATTTTCTCCACTTTATTAAATCATTTAATTGTATTTTACTATTTTCTCTTCTAAAATTATACTAATAATTATTGACTTAATCTTTAAAAATGCTAATCATTATCCGGAAATGATATAGTATTTAAAAATAGATCCAAGAATAAAAATATTAATACATGGCATGATGTTACTCATTAGATAGAGTCATTTGGCAAGGCTCCAATGGTGGGGCAAATGAAAATAGTGGCTGGATTCTAGATTCTATAAGTCCTATGTAATTTATAAATAATGCTTGAATTGTTCATACTTTCTCAATCCACTTGGTGCAATCAGAGAAGTTCCCTTCCAAATGCAATCACATCATTCATTTATCATTCAACAAGACACAACAACTGCAATATTGATCTTTTCTTTTATGAATTTTCATATTATTTTTATTCAAAGAACAGAACTTTAAGTCATTACTAGTATTAAACATACTCACATGAAGCTAGATAAGGATTCTCGTACTAGAGAATTTGCTGTCACAAAAAAATGCTTGGAGAAAACCATGTGTTTCAAAATGTGAACCACCAACATTTGATTCTCCATATTTGCTATTACAGCCACAGAATGAAATAAGGTTCATTCATATCTTGTTATGCATTAAGAATATTTGACTTTATCTCTTTTTTTTTTCAAGACACATTCATTTGAAGAAGGAAATGTGATTTTCCACATGCATTTTAGAAATTATGTTATTTTGGAGTCAATATATAGTTGAATGATAAATACTAATTCAACGATACAACTTAACTATAAGTTAAAAACTACTATCTCCGCTCTAAATGATTGTCGTTTAAGATTTTTGTATATAAATTAAAAAATATAATAATATTGTCTTAAAATATTATAATTTTATTAAATTATCTTTATTAATGTGCTAGAACGGAGGGAGTAAATCCTCAACATTGTTATAGTTTATCATGATCGCTGAATACCAACTAAAGATTATTAATAGCGAGAATTAAGTCACAAAATTGTTCTCGCAGTAGTTAAGTAGTCTCACTAATTAACCAAAACCTCTATTTCAAGTTTCAACCACTTGTTTCTTAGATTGCTCCATTTAAATTATTATTCATTTTCTGTTCTATCGAACTGGTCAATTCAACAGCTCTTCCAATGTAACTATGCAGCGTTAAATTTAAGAGATAAGTCTTTTCTTCATGTGGAATATCTATGCGTTTAAATTTAAGAGATATGTCTTTTATTTTTGTGGAATATCTATACCTTCAATTTTAAGAGATAGGTCTTTTCTTCTTGTGAAATATCTATGCGTTTAATGAAGTCTCTTATGCTTTCTTTGGTAATTGATTTTTTTCTTCTTAACTCTTTTAACTTCTCGTAAGACTCTAGAACACCATATTTTCGCATGACCTACATAAATATTTGCAAACTATATCATTGAAAAGACCTGTAAGAAAAAAATTCTACTAATGTCCTACCAAGTACACAACCACATCAAGCATTGCAATGAAGTCTGGTTACAAATATATTTTAGACATTTAGTTCAATATAAAATAGATTAATCTAGATAACCATATAAAAAGATTAACATATAAATATTGTTTATACTGGTTCAACAAACACCATCCGATACTGGTTCAACTCTTCGCTCAATCGTGCTTTATTGACCTAAGTTATGGATTATAATATTTACGAGGAAACTCAATAAATAAACTAAAGCATATTGTTTTTTCTCTAGATTAAATATGAAAACGTGAGAAACTTGCACTGCAGTTATGCAAATAGTCAGTGATTGAAACTTAGTATATATTGTTGTGATATAATTCAAGTTGTAGCTCAAATGCAAGTTGATTAGCTTTATGGTTTGTTATGTCAGTTACTTAGTATACAAGTAACATAGTTGTATATAGATAAATATTTGTAATTCAGTTTTACAGTTTATCAATAATTAATAATTTTATCAATTATTCTTCATTCTCTCTCTCTCTCTCTCTCTCTCTCTCTCTCTCTCTCTCTCTCTCTCTCTCTCTCTCTCTCTCTCTCTCTCTCTCTCTCTCTCTCTCTCTCTCTCTCTCTCTCTCTCTCTCTCTCCATTTCTCACTAAAAGTGTTTCAACACTAACAAATTGATATTAGAGCTCATGTTAGTTTCTTGATCGTGTTTTCAAGAATCACATGTCAGTGATCATTTTTTTTATCGTGGGTTGTTAATCGCGTTTGCTGCAAAGATAAATGGTAACAATGAAATTCCGAATTCTCTTCCAATTCTTGACGACAAGAATTGAATCTAATTGAGAAAATAGATGCAATCTCTATTTGACTTTCATGAAACTCTATAAGAGGTTACTAATGACGTCTCTGAGCTTGCTGAGAATGCAACTGATGCTCAGAGAGTCGCGAACAAGTAGACCAAGAAAAAAAACTGCAAGGTTACATTTTATATTCAATTAGCGGTAGACGCAGTGAAATTTGATCGGATTTCTCATGTTGAATCAGCGAAGAAGGCATTGGGATGTTCTTGTCAAGTATTACGAATGAGGTGAGAAGGTTAAAGTCGTCAAATTGCAGACATTGTGAAGGCAATATGAATTACTACAGATGGGAGAAGAAGAAAAGATTGCATGTTATGTCTCGAAGGTGCATAAGTTTGTTCATCTCATGAAAGGTTATGGTGAAACTCTAACTAATAAGATGATACTTAAGAAAGTAATGCGTACATTGACCTCTCACTTTGATCACATTATCATTGCTATTCAAGAAACCAACAATCTTGAAACATTGAAATTAGAAGATTTTGTTGGTTTGTTGGAGGCATATGAGATGAGGATTGTCGAAAGGAAAGGTGTTCAAGTTTCTATACAAGCTCTATAGGCTCAGACATGGAAGAAACATGGTGGTTCCAACAAGTTCAAGGAAAAAGGATACAAGACTCAGAGAAAGAAGTCTTGGTCGAACCCTAAAAGCATAAGGTTGACAGTAGGACTTCTGAATCCTCGAAAAAAGGAGAAGGAAACTCCTATCAGAAAGACAAAGAAGATAAAAAAGATGTGTAATGCTATAACTTTAAAAAATTGGGTCACTTAACCAAGAACTATTGGTATAAGAAAGGCAAGAATGAAGGAGTAAACCTTGCACGCCAAGATTCAGATGATTCTGAAGACATGGTGGTTATGGCTGCAGTTGTAGATGAGCATGTCGACACCAAAATTTTGTTCCTCGACACAGGCTGCTCGAATCACATGACTGGTAAGAAAGTGTGGTTGGCAGATTTCGACGAGTCAAAGAAAAGAAAGGTCAAGCTTGCATATTATAGCTCGTTGCAAGCAAAAGGTATTGGCAATATAAACACTTAATGAGTACAGACCCATCTGGCTTATAGGATGTGTGTACAAAGTCCTGTCTAAATTCTGGCAACTAGATTAAGATTTGTCATAGGTAGTTTGATTTCCAAGTCTCAGATGGCATTCATTCCGGGTAGATAGTTACTAGATGGAGTGGTTGTTCTAAAAAAAGTAATTGATCTAGCAAAAAAGAAGAAGAAAAGGTGTGGGTTGTTTAAAGTTGATTTTTCCAAGGTATATGATTGTGTATACTGGCTATATCTGAAATATATGATGACATCTATGGGGTTTGGCTTGATATGGATGAGGTGGATGGTTGAGGGAGTATTTACGAGTTATATGTCTGTTCTCGTGAGCGGTAGTCCTACGAAAGATTTCTAGGTTTATCGTGGCTTGAGGCAGGGAGACCCGTTGTCTCCATTCTTGTTCTCAATAGTGGATGAGGGTTTCTCTACCTTGGTAAAAAGATTAACTGTTGTTGGTATGTTAAAAGGATTTAAAGAAAATGAGGCGACAAGCTACAATTTATTACAGTTTGCGGATGATACGATAATCTTGTGCAATGGTGAATGGTCTAATTTATGGGCTATCAAAGCAATAGTGAAAGGTTTCAAAATGATATTCGGCTTGAGAATAAATACAACCAAGAGTTATCTATTAGA